GTTCAATAAAGATATATATAGTGGTGTCATTTATAGATATTAAAGATTACACAACATGGTCTTGCTTTTAGTTTACGAGTAGACTTAATTATGAGTATGTAATAAATGGAATCATGACTGCATAATCGGCGTGAAATTGAATGTTTAACTATTCTGTCATAGATTGATGACTGAATGTTACAGTACATAGTTATCGAAGTAGAAATTTGATTTCTTTAGTTGATTAAAAACAAACAACTGATACTAACTTTTTTATAATTTACGAATTAGAAGTTAACCTTTAAGAAGTAATATGATAAAGAGAAGGAATTCCTGTTATATCTAGAACTTAAATCCTTGATATACCGTGTACAACTTGAGCACTCGAAAGCTAGAACCCTCAAAGTCGTAAATAAAAAGACAGAAGACGAGTGTGAAGGAAATCTATTTCAACAGTGCGAACTATGATACAAAACCCTCAGGTAATTATAGTTCTTAGCAAAAGCAAAATCATCATTATGGTCATCCAATCCGCATACATGGGTTTTTATCAATTATCCAGTAGGGAAGATACAGTAGAGATTCTGGAATGTTCTCCCGAAAGATGATTAGATGAAATATCTTCGGCTCTTTCAGAGCCTCTTAGAGCTTACTTGAGTTCATCCATAGGTCGTCCACACAATTATTTATGAGTAAGGGAGGGTACTGAACAAAATGTAGCTTAGACAACACTATGAAAATGGGCTATAGAAACATCAGGAAAATGTCTAGATATTGAACAATGAGGGCAGTAAAATAGTTATTTCTATATATATTTGCTTATTATTCACAATACAGATGCTTAATATTTTGAACACCACCGAAATATCACTTAAGCTTTTCTATTTCATATAAACGATACTAAGAGCATAACTACAGTTACGTTTACTGGTACTATCGGTACTCCAAATTGAAGTACGGTTGGAAATAGTCCAATGACTTAATTGTAAAACCATCAACTACATCCTGGATACAAACAAAGCACGAGGAGCAGGTGTGGGGCAGTATGGCAGCTTTAAAATGTCTTAAACATAGTGGAGCTTTGGTTAATCAAACTATCTATTCATTTACATTTGAAATGGGTGCTGACGATGCTGTTCACTATGATAAGGTAAGCTCCGCAATTGAGCTATACAGATTAGAATACTAACCAAAACATTAAATTTACGTGTATTGTTTTTTAAAACCGTGTCGTTATAATCCAAGACAATAAGTATTGCTTCTGGTCCATGAAAAGTTTATCTTAATAAATAACGTGGTAACTATTCATCTCCCTCCAAAAATAAAACCTGACATTTTATAGATTACAGTAGTAATGTAATTTTAAAACACTAGGAAATCAAAGCCATTCAGGAGTGAAGCAAAAAATCCACCACAATATCTATAACGGTTTTTAACATGTCAAAGGACTACTTTTAAATCTTCTTATAAAAAAATGATCACGTAAAATCAGGAGTACCTTCGAAAACCATGAAACATCGGATAGTTGTTTTGTCCTAATGATGTCACTTATTTACCCAGTACACTGTTATTTACTCAGCTTTGAAAGTGTTTGCGAGAGCTAGTAATATAACTGTGGCTAACTAAACTGAATTATGTTCTGAGGGGCTTGGACCTGAAACATAATGCTTAAAAATAAGGACCTGTATCCAGTACATCGCTGCTGTTCCACATGGGATTTCCCGAAATTATCCACCAACAGCCTAACCAAAGATCGATTCTAGGACAATCAGTCCTTGCGAGAAGCGCTTAACCTTTAGAATGATAGTCATCAACAATGAGATTGATTGAAGCAAGTGATGAGGATCGTCAAATAACAACTTAGTGGTTTACATGTTAGACGTTCACCTTGAAGCCTGAGAGTTTAAATTTGATTCCTGTTTGGAGTTTTTGATGCGCACAATCGAGTTTCATACTACGACGAAGCAGTTATCTAATGCACCTTGGTTTCCAATGGAACCGGAAATGGCACCAATATGTAACGAGAATTATTTACAAATTATACTGACCATAAAAAGCCCTTTAACAAAAAGTTAGTTTTATTTAAATTTTTATAGCAACTGAGGAATATAGCTTTAACATTAATCCATATAAACCTTGTAAAACTATTCAAAAGAAACATTACGTAGAGGAAGACAGAAAAATAATTAAAAGCGAATTTCAAAAAGTCAAATTGTTACATCAGATCAAGCAAAATATAAGACATTAATGAATTAGCAAAACAATACATTTGTCTTAGAATGAATACAATCAACCTTAATCATAACAAAAATGTCAAATCATTGTATTTCAGGTAAAACTGTGGGGCAGATAGTGCCTAAAGAGATTCTTGATTTTTAATACATATATATACTTAATTAACCATGTTTTTTTTAAAAAGATTAATTTTGTTGTTTTTAAAAAGTATGCAGTGAATTTCATACAACTTAATGTAGTAATGTACAGGAAATATTTTAATTTTGTTTTAACCCATTAATAAAACCCGTTTACAGAAAGTCATAACCATAAGTAACAATGCTTAATGTAGTGAAATAATAATACCGATCTACCCCATAATCAAATTATATCAAGAAGTACCGTACGATGATTTTAAATTTGTTACAGACAAACGTATTGCTCATTATGAATGGTAAGTTTTCGTTTTCTGGGTATACCTCCACTAATCAGACAATGGTTTGTATATTAGATGTTTTGAAACAATTAATACAATGGCTAGTTATACTATACCACATAAATTCCAAAGCCATAGTAACATCAATAACTTTAAATATATCAGTCAATAATTAAAAGTCTAATTTTTTAAACCACAGTAGTAAATTAAGTATTTTCACAAGAGAGTGATCTAAGGTTAATTACATGGGCGATATTAAGAAGTACAATAATTATCAAAATGTTTTTTAAATTGACTAAGGTGACTAGTCAAAAATGGTGCCAAAGAATTAGTAACTCGTTAATATATTCATCGCATACAAATTAACGTGAATGTTAGCTCTAAAATGTAAATGTTTCGCTAAAGTAACTTATGATAGGACATATATAATAATGGTAACATTAATTTGCATGTTTATATCAAGTATATTTGTAAAATTTATATGATTGAATACGTTTTTTAATTAAATAATAAAGTACTACACACAAAATAAAGACCAAGTAATTGTTTCTTAAACAGAAAATAAACCAACATTTTTAAAATACATACCACGCACATATGTATACTGGCTAAAACGATTATTTTAACAAGTAATTATAACACAATATTCATTTATATGTAAGACCAAAGTACGATGTACTAAGTTGTTAGAATTTTATTAAAAACAGAATTTTACTTAAATGTTTCATGTGTACATGTTTATTTAAAAAATGTACACACCTAAGAAACACTTAAAATGTTTGAATAAAAAATAACTTTTCTGAACGCTCCTTACAACTAGTACTACAGTGAAAAATTGGTATATTGATGACGTATAGTCGCCAGATGTTTCATATATTTAACTCGATAACTGTCATGGGGATAGATACTGTAAAATCGGAAAACCCCCTTGACTTGAGCATTTAGGTAACGTAATGTAAGTTTTAACCACAACTATAGACTATTGATAGCACATATTCAACTGACATTACTTAAGCTTTATACTTGTATGTATAAAATAAGTCGAAAAAGACATAGTGCTCAATTGCATCTTGATGCTTTCGTACCAACTGGTATATATATATGCTAGATTAAATTTCTTTTTCACATATTAACTCGACAATTGGAATATAACATAAAGACGAAGTTATTTTATGGGACTACAGACAAAAATTTTATTTTTTCATCCGCATGCAAGCTACTTGACTAACGATACAAAACAGTAAGGAGAGAAATCTTGTTAAGATTTTCCATTAGCGGAATAATGTTCTTTGTTTACTAAACACCTTGATAACCAAGAGTAAACGTAAACAGCAAAAATACAGACTACTCAACAAACAACCCGTGTTAGGCTGACTCAAAAGTCAAGCATAAAAAATATTAAATGAATTTATAATTACTCTGAGAATACGTAAGTTATGATTATATCCTAAGAAACCGATAGAAACAAAAAAGAAAACGGATCAAAGTAAGTGGTACATCATTGTCTTTTAGATATCAGTTACTTTCAATGACTAGGAAGTTATGCAGTTAGTGAAAACCAGTCTGATAGCACGATGCCAGTGATGTTAGTAATTTTTTAAAAGGAAATTTCTTCCGCTTTGCCATTATTCATATTTTTAGGTATACTGGCATAATGAAGGCCTAGTTATTGATATCAAAGGCACACGGAAACAAGTCTTATAAATGCCGGTAATGCACAAGTTAGTTTCGACTGTCGTTGGAGCAGTGCGTAGATATTCACAGCTTGAGTGCTGTAAGAGGTATAAAGGTGGTTTTTAATTTCAGGCTGCCCACGACATAGAAGGGCTCTTCCAGAGCACTTCATATTGAATCAAGAAGTCGCAGCTTTGAGTTTCCTTACTTCAGTTCGGAGGATTATATATTTTGATTATCACTATTTTATTTGAAATGACCAGAATAAAAAGCCTTCCGTTACAAAAAATGGGAAAAACAAAAGATAATTTCACCGCACAAACTTTATGGTAACCTTATTTTTTAAGTAATTCTTTACTTTGGTGTCATAAATTAAGAATATACATTATCAAAACGTTATACAGCTGGTTCTCTTCACAAGTTCAAGCGATGGCAAAAATATAAGAGTATAAAACATCCTAAAGTTTAAAAGTCCTGATAAGATATAGTTATAAATTTAAACACAAGTAGAAACTGTATAGTGACGAATACCATAGCTAATCTAAGGTGTAACCGTCGACAACAAATGTGCAATAACTTTTAAATCTAAAACCAAGATGTCTATCTATAAATAATTAGCAAACTAATTAAATATACTAAATCTGGCATAGATTAAGCAGCTATAAAGTGAAAAAGGAAGAACTAAAAGGGTGCTTACCTTGTGAACAATGTGCTCTAGGAATAACAGAGAAATATATGACAATACACAGGAATCTGCATAAATTACTTATGTAGAGAGTCAAGTATTGTCTCGTATGTGAAAATTTAAAACTAATCCACATGGTTAGTTTGACAAACTGAGATTAAGTCCAAGTGTTACTAATGAAAATACATCATCAATTATATTGTCAGCTACATCAGCTTCTATGTAAAACAAGGATAATGCTTCGTACATCCCTAAAAAAGAAAAATAACAATGATCGTGACGTAACAATATTATTAATAAAATCGATTATTGATTATTCGAAAATTTGATTTTAAGACAACCATGAAAACATTACTAGGTGGAAAAATAACCAGCTAAGTAGATATTACGGTTAATAACATTTAGCGCTGACATAGTACGTTCTTTCAGGTTCAACAGAATCATGTGTATTGTCATTAACAAGAAATCAGTACATTATGTCTACAGTTAATAAGTATTGCCTGTGTACTGAGATCCTCCTGTCTTATAAACTCCAGCTTTTGGAAGAAATATATACGAAATATTGTAAAAGAGGACAAAAGTCTGATGAAACATTATGAAACGATACACATACGTGCTAAGACGATACATTTACTTGAACACTTAACGCTAACCAAACGCGTGTACTTACATTAGAGTCAAAAGTGTTAACAAGGTCAATTACACAAATATTTGAAGCGGGTAAACAAAATCGTGCATTGAAAAATTCAATAATTATGCATCTTAAATTCAGATTTGTGAATTATATTTGTGTGGTAAGAACAGAAGGCTTTACAACCTACGTTATTCATTTTACGGTGTGTTTCCGTGAGTGTCTAGTCTTCTCTTGAATATGACAACTGAAGGTACGGACACCACTGCTTCGAATAACAGGTTCCAAGAATTGGTGACTCGGTCTGAAGACCTGTAATCCATGGTTATTTTTTCCGTTCTTGGCTTTTTCACTCGCCTTCTATATTCTCTGAGATGTTCCGATCTAGTGGGAAGAAAAAGAGAAAATGTTTTATGTCCGAAATCATTTCTTAGTATTGTATACATCAAAATTAGATCACCTCTTAAAGAGGTCTAGGCTTTCAAGCCGCTCTTTGTAAGGTAAACACCAGAATTCTGAAATTGCACAGGTAGCTGCTTTCTGTACGTTTTCCAGGGTATCCGAGTCACTTTTTAAACAGGGGCTTGCAACCTGAACGCAATTCTCAAGCTTTGTTCTCACAAAGGTTGTGTACACTGTAGTGAACAATGTAGTATCTAACTTGGGGAATGTCCGTTTTAAAGTTCAAAGAGTTTTAAACCCCTTAGCTGAGACCTCCAGGAAATGGGCGGTTGTCTTAAGATCATGACTCACTGCCACCCCTAGATCCTCATGAGACCGGACCACGGGTACAGACACTTCCACTATGTTGTACTTAATAACCTTTGTATCCCCATAGTGTATGTAGGCACACTACCTCGTTAATAAACATCAAACATTCTGTAGACCAGCTAATCACATGATTCAAGTCTGCCTGAAGTGCGTATGCATCTGCGTCTCTCATTATTTCTTGTCGGATTTATACATCGTCAGCGTATAATAACATTGGAGACTGTATCATACTTGGGAGATCATTTACATACATTATGGAAAGTTAAGGATCTAGGATAGGACCTTGAGGTACTTCATTAAGTAGTGGTCTCCAGGTGGAGCACTTGGAATTTATTCTTACTTTCTGTCTATGACCTACTGAGAAATCTCTAAGTCATTTTAAAAGAGGTCCGGTAATACCAAGATTTTGTTGGCACCTTGTTAAATGCCTCACTGAAGTCTAAGTAGACAACACCCACTGAGTCTTCGTTGTTTAGAGCCTTTACCTAATGCTACCGTGCTATAAGGAGGTTTGTCGTGCAAGATAAACCCTTCCTTAAACCATGTTGTTCACTGTTTAACATGTCGTTGGTTTCCACAAAAATCATTCTGGCCTTTTTGACTATTCGTCCTAATATTTTAACTGCAACTCTGGTGAGGCTGGCAGGTCTGAAGTTCGATGGAAGTTGTTTTGGTCCTGTCTTATGTATGGGAGTGACGACTGCATCATTCCAGTCCATAGGTAACACACCTTGGTCAAGTGACATTGTTGAACTATGGTCTACTATGATATTAGTACTGCTCTAATGATAGACCTAATCCTAAAATTGTAGATTTGTCATGATATAACTGCCTAATCTATAAGATCTTACGTGGAAGTCACACCATCGACTATACCAACTCGCTGTATCGTATCAACTACCATTACATGATGTAGAACAAGGTTAGGCTAGAGAAGGAACAATATATTTAGTATGAATAGAAGATATAAGGTAACATTCAGAGGGAACACGCCTGCATGACCGAGCCATGCCATTCGATCAACTTCAATTCCTTCAATTAACTGTTCCAGCCTTTTCCATCGTTAAGTATTTCTCCGCGTTTAATATTGAATATCTATTTTCCGAGTAGTGTTGTGTTCAGCTTTGAAGATTGTGTGGTTATGGTCCAATGCCACCACAACATAATGGACATCACAGTCATTGGGGTGGCGCTGTATTGTGCAATATGTCTTGGGATTTCGGGGGCTTAGTCCGTCCTCTCCTGTTGACGTATCCATGCAGAAGGTGCTAAGATTCTTAAAAAGTCTCGTTGAGAAGGCGGTTTGTTGATTTTGAATTTGGGTCTATTTTTTGTCTAGAAGCGGTTCCTGAATGAAAACTGCCCCAAAATAGTCAGCCATAGCCTCTGCTTTTACCTGATCTTCCTCTATCGTTTCAGGTTCACTCCTTCCTTTTATTAGGTTGGGAATTCAGTGATGCATCCTTCGTCTGTAATTTACGTATGAGAATAGTCTCTAAGGCTGCTTAGGTGCGGATTGTGCTAACTGAATTTCATATTCTCTCTGAGCTTCTCGGATTTTAATTGTAAATTTGTTTCTTACCGACCTGTAGCTCTCTATCGTACCTGCTGTGCCAAGGCGGATGGCAACATCCCAACACCTCTTCTTTTGTCTTAGTAAACGTCGAATATCCCAGCCAATTCAGGGATGGACGTGCTTCTTCTTCTTTGGAACTGTCCATGGTATGTATGGTTGAGTTGCCCGACTGTATAACTGCCTGAAAAGAGTCCATGCCTCTTGTACTGATGCCCTTGTGTCAATTTCATAGTTTTCAGCCGATGCTGCGGTGTTGATTCCCTCTATATCCGCCCTCCATATTTTAGGACGGGCCGGCGCAACTGTTTGATAGGCAATCTCAGCCATGAATTTGAATAATATGACTGCATGATCACTTCATCCTAGTGGTGGGAGGAAAGTCATTTTACCAACATCATCACCGTGTGTGAAGACTAAATCTAAAAGAGAAGAAGGATTTCTTAAGTCATATCTTGTAAGATTTCTAATGTGTTGGGATAGAGCTAATCCAATCGAGGTTTCTAACAGGTTGCAATCAAATGACGTTATCAATGAACCTACTTCTAAGGTAACCCTGTTTATACGGTGAATTAAAGTCACGTACTACAAGGCTTTTATCCCTATTACACCAGCACGTAAGTTTGCTTAGGATGGAGTCATCTACTACGCATTCTGAACTACGATATACCACAATTAATTCAATATCTTGCTGTCTGTATTTCAACCTAAAACGCACCAGTTCACACGTACTTGAATCATGTGCCACTGTCTTAACTGCTCATATGGTTAGGAAGCTTCTCATATGCAGGATAACCCCACCTCCCCTACGTTTGATCCATCAGCCCTACTGGATAAAAAACCAGTCAACTGAATTTCATTAATGAACACTTCTGACGTTAAGCACGATTCTGAGACAGCTATAAAATCCCATTTTTCAATATCTGCCATTGTCTTGAGCTCCGCTGCCTCATTTTGCGGGCTGCGAGCATTTGTTCGAAACTCCTTTAAATCTGTGCAGAACGTTCCCTTACCTTCCAGAGCGGTTTGGGAATCGTTTTGCACCGAACTTTTACAGTTTAAAAACTCTTATGTACGAGGTATCTTTCACCGTTTCGGTGGCGCTCTTTTTTCTACTTCTGAAGCCCGTTTCTTAATAAGGTCAATCAGTCTGGGATCCTCAAGAACATAGATTCCGGATCCAATCAGTTTGCGTGAGTTTCGCAGTATCAGGTTTCTTTCGTCAACAGTAGCAAGGGTAATCTTTAAGAGGCGACTTTTCTAAGTACTTTCAGAATCCACATTTTTTCTATTATGTAAAGCTTACAAATGCTAACTCATGAAACTGTTTCTAGGAGTAGCCTGCTTATTAAGGACTTAATGTGACTGAGGTCGAGCCCATGTCCAGCCTTTGGTTCTTTTAATTTATGAAAAATGACTGACTTCTCATTGAGATCCGTCTCAACACGTCGCGGAATGGTAGTTCCTGAAATCGCCTCCACCGTGTAATCCGATTCCGATTTAGCATAAAACGCCTTAGTCACATTCTGTTTTCTTACTTTTCTCTTCCTAGGTGTGAATGTGAGCCACTCATTTACCTTATTTTGTCCCTCAATCACATCCTCTACACCGCTCATACATGGCTCCCCCATAGTTTGTTTTGCGCTGATATGTGGATCCGGAACTGAAACCGTCGATTCACGTAACTTAGTACTGTCTATAAATAATTTTTTCTTCTCAGACCACGTTTACTTTTTTCTTGTGACAATACATAAATCCATATACTTGTTATCTGCTTCCCTGATAGGGTCGACCTTTATGGTCACATTCAAATAACGCTCTCTGTTTACTCGAAAACGGAAGTCTACTCATGTACTTCTGCCTGTTTATATTAGGGAAGTTATATAGCGATGTTCAGCAGCTCGATCGCTTGTAGAATCTACAGAAACGTTGTAGAACAACATGCTTTGCACAGCCAATGTGATAATTGCTTGCAGCACCACTTATAAACAACGAGTGTGTGGCCGGTGCACACATTGTGATACCACTTATTGCAGTTGTAACAGTGCACCCCATCATCGACAGGGTAGCAGCATTCAGGTGTTCCACAACAATGTTTTACTTGCACCATAAATTTGTTCTTTGGTCTTATAGGGAAAGCAGATCTCTGGATAAAGTGTCTTCTAAAACGTGATAAGTGATAAACACTAAACACAAACAAGAATTGAGGTTTGTGTATAACTGTACCTAGCAATAATAAAAAAATCTTACTTCAGTAGTTACAAAGAGACCGTAACACCTATGGATACAAACAATACTCAAAGATATACTCAACGACTGAGAATAAATATAAGTGCCCTTAGTTTTTTTGTATCTGTACTCGTAAAATACAGATGATAAATTTCTTTAGAAAAAAGGCAGTACTTTGGGGAATTACTTTAACTAAAGCAAATCCAATAAAGCAAAAACAGTAGTCTTGATATGTGATTCAACTATCCATCCTATAAAATATACTCAGAGGAAATATACCACTATCCTTCTTGAATAGCGCGCGTTTTAGAAGATGACAGCGCGCGTCTTGCGGCTTGAACTACGCTTATGCAACTAGGAACCACTTATATGCCTCAAAAACTCAACTTTATTTTCGAATAATCGTTTTCTCTTAGATGTGATGGAGTAATAAACTGCTAGTAATATCTGTCCATTCTTCTGTACTAGGGATAGGAAGCCT